TCTGCTACTCTCACCCTAGGCTTGCCCTAGAGAAAACTCGAGCTCAATACGACTGGTCCTCAGCTGCTGTAGGTCTCCTTGCACTGCCAGTTAGCCATCACCTGAACACCATCACATGTGATGAGGATCGGATAATCCTTCAAGTAAAAGATCCGTCCCTACAACGGTTGGACTCAAACAAGAGCTGCGCAGTAGGGCCAGTTCCAGCACTCTGGGATTATTCAAACCTGATTACATGTGGTGTGACGTGTCCACCTAATGGCTAACTCCCATTACTCGGAATCCCACTAAGCACAAAGCAAGCAGCATTCGGACAAGGGAAACAGACTCACGCAAGCTATTCTTATAACAAGAAACTGCACTAGCATAGGATGCTAAGCTCATACTATCAGGCATAACCTAAACAGGCTATCCTACTGCTGTCTACTCAATTCTAGCATGCAATATTCATAGAGCTGTAACACATAAGCAGGCACATAAGGCATTCTCCTACACCCTTAGTCCTATTCTAGCATGCTGTTCTACTAAACTGAAATTGAACAAATAACTTGTATGGGTAATTTGGGAGTACTTACTTGAGCTCGGTTGACCGCATGCACACACCTCTTCTTAAAACAATTCTTTTCCTTCTAAGTGTTTTCAAAATTCTTTTGTAAAAACATTTTATTAAAAATCTTTTATTTCCCCTTAGTTTGAGTTCAGATACACCCGAGAGTGTATCCGAATCCCTCAAACCAGGGCTCTGATACCAACTTGAAACGACCCAAAAATACGACCCAAAAATTTCGTTTTTAATACCATCAAAACTATAATCAGAGTATCATATAAATAAACCATGCGTGATATGCCCCAAAATATAATAAAGTACTGTGCGGAAACTGTAACATACTATATCCAAAAACAACAACTAAATCAAATCCAGACTAAAGCTGAAACGGTGGTGTGTGCGATGCCGTCACCCAGAGCTCTTCCCTTTGCTTGCGGAAGTACCTGAAACCAAAACTGAAACTGTAAGCACGAAGCTTAGTGAGCTCCCCCAACTTACCACATACCATACAACAACATATAAACACATATTGGGCCTTGCCCACTGCATCGGGCCGGGGCCCGGAAACTGCATCGGACCGAAGTCCGGAACTGACTGGGACCTTGTCCCCTGCATCGGACCAAAGTCCGGAACTAACTGCATCGGACCGGAGTCCGGAACTGGCTGCATCGGACCGAAGTCCGGAACTGACTGGGACTGTGTCCCCTGCATCGGACCGGAGCCCGGAACTGACTGAGCATAGCATAGCATATCATAACAAACATACTGCATACTGCATCGGGCCGCAACCCGGAACATAAAACACATAACACATAGCACATGAATTATGTCTGAACCACGAAGGCATCAAACATACTAACTACTACATCGGACCGAAGTCCGGAAACTACTATTAACTGGACGGGCCGGCATTGTGGCCTTAGACCCGCCCCTACGGGAAGGAAACTCACCTCGTAAGCTAGCGGATGAGTGTGCGGCTCGGAAAGCTAACGGCTGCTGCTCCTGAATCTCCTCGGCTACAAATCCATAAACACACTCAATCAATCACTAGCACTACACTCAGGGTAAAATGACTCTTTTACCCTTGGTCAAAGTTGACTTACTCAGGGCTGACTCGCCGAGTCGGGATACCGACTCGCCGAGTCCTAGACTCTCCGCTCAACTCTTACATGCTGTTACTCGTCGAGTGTGGCATCGACTCGACGAGTACCCTCTGGATCCAAGAACTCAGATGATCTTCATCCGACTCGCCGAGTCAGATGAACAGACTCGACGAGTTGTTCTTGATCCTCAAGAAGATTGCCTTGGACTCGCCGAGTTGTATGAACAAACTCGCCGAGTCCCTCCATCACTGAGTCTACTCTTAACTCGCTGAGTCCACTCCCTAACTCACCTCGTCCACTCGACACTGAAGAAACTGAAGAACTCGGGACTCGCGACCTGACTCGTCGAGTCGTTCTTCCGACTCGCCGAGTCGCCGCCATGCAACATATTTTTACTCGATTTCTCTTGAATCCAACACATGCAAATGATAGATCTAGGTCCATTAAGCTGTTTTACCACGTAAAGTTTCCAACTTTACGTGCACAACCACATGAATGAGGGAAATAAGACTAAAATATGCACAATAAGGGTAGATCCATGGCTAATAAGCAATGTAACTCCAAAAAGACAGTGGATCTGGACTCTACAACACCCCAACACTCAGATCCAAAGGTATTTCGGCTTAATAACACATTCAAGCAAGCATAAAGCTTGGAACAAGCATCAAATAGCCCTTAAAAGAGCTCTAATGGAAGTTTAAGCATGAAACCAGAAGAGAACTCCGAAAATACCTCAATAAGTTCACACTTGATCTTGGATCTTGGCACTAGAACTCGTTTCCTTGCTTCCTTCTTCTTCTCCTTCTTCACCCCTTCACAAAATGGAACAAGATCACTTATAAGCTCACAAGAGGAAGGTTTAGGGTTTCTCACAGTGCTCTCAGGGGGAAAGTGACGAGATGGAGGCTATAATGGGGTTTAAATAGTGAGCAAACCCGGGGAGTTAGGGTTTCACCCAGACGGACGGACTCGCCGAGTCCAGGGTATGGACTCGCCGAGTCGCCGGCTCCCGCGTGCACAAGATGCGCGACCCGACTCGGCGAGTCAGGCTAGAACTCGCCGAGTCCCTCTTGAAAACTTAGCCCAAATCAAATTAATTAACATACCAGAAATGGGTCGTTACATGATTACTATAGCATATCATTCTATTCAATACTCGCACATAGATCTACAACCACATACAGAGTCTGCAACATGATTGGACCGCCTCACCAAGCCTTCAGTCTATCTAGACCACTCTCAGAACCTTCAGCATTTTTGGACCGCCTTTCTGGGCCTTCAGCCTGTCTGGACCGTTCTATGAGCCTTCGGCCTGACTGGTATGCCCCACCAGCCTTCGGTCTATCCGGACCACTCTAAACTATTGAGCATCACCCGGGGCCACCCCTCACGGTGCTCCCTCTCTCCTATACAACTTGTTCTCACCCACTTGGGGCTTCGAATTCTTGATCCATCGTGTGGATCATAACCCCAGTCTAACCCTAGGCGTCATGTCGATCGCCCACCCTCTCGGAAAATCATGGTCTGATTCTTGACCCGCGTATCTTCCATTAACAAAACATGATTTCCCTAATAACACTTTAGAAATCAAAGGGGTAGGGGAGGCAATCGCACACCAAGTGTCCATCTTTAATGCATAAAAATATGAACTTTCTCTGGCGTATGATATATGGACAATCTTGTAATCATCACTGATTGGGTCGAAACCAAACCCAAGCGCAGTCCCAAACCCTTCCAAAGGGCCTCTAGGTCTCCGCGGACAATCAGGCAGGCTTTGTTTGCACCTTATTAAAGGGTTCCATAGACTAATTCCCTTCTGATGCTCACTCAAACAAAATATTCCATCACATAAACCAACAATTATGAAAGCTCTGCTACATGGAAACTGGACTGCTGTTATACCATTGTATCCTTGTATGGGACACAATGTCAACGGGTCTTCTGAATGTAATGTATAAAAGTCATCGGACAATAATGTATGCAAGTATTCAAGGCCATATAATTCGTAATAAAGTTGATGTTGGAAGAGGAGTTTTTGTGTGGATCAAGAAGTATGAATGCGGATGAAAGTGGGGCTAGAAATACTAGAATACCATGATTTGGAGAGTGATCTAAATCGGAGGAGGGATTTGGGTGGCAGTCTTGTGAAGATTTCAATTATCAACTCTTCTCATAGATAATCTGACATTATGTAATCCTGCATTTTTCCAAGGAGATGAAATTCAGTACTAATAGGATGCAATCAAAACCATATATATGTAATCCATGCCATCTCCGCCATCAAATCTTGTACATCGTTAATTGACCGGAAACTTTTACAGTTTCTTTTTTGCGTTGTCTCATCCCATTGGATGGGGAGGTGGTGTAATCTCAACCGAGTCCTCACCGATGTTGAGTTCAAACCTGATAGGCTGATATGACCATCTGACGATGTGTGAGAGGTATCAAATGCTCTGGTTCATTTGGAATCACACGTAAAGCATTATGATCTCTGGACTTCATGTCACTTTTTGCATTCTTTGAAAATGCTGCAACTCACGGAAAATTGAAACATTTTGCATGTTCACGACGGTAAATTTTAAGTGGCTTGCCCAAAATGGTAGCATCATTATCACCACTACGCCAATCTCACTTCAAGTTATTAAACAAAGTGTTAAATTCCATAACAACTTTGTTCATATTTCTCCATTTTGCGTGGAGTTGATCTTTTGTCCGATACTATTGTTTTTTGATTTCAACAACGAAGCATTTTGTTATTTTTCCTCGTTGCTGATCGTCGAGTCATTGGGCACAATGACCCAAGGCTAAAACCTTCTCTTATGCTTTTTTAAATAAGGAATAAGCCCTTAAACATTTAACAAAAGGACTTATGCTATTTCAAATAAGAAAGTTTTTATATAATGTCGTCAAACTATTCATTTTGTTTTCATTTTTCTATTTTTTAATAATATCTTATTTTATCCATTTAATTGTCGTTAAACTATAAATCCTTGTGCTTTTTTACTAATTAATCTATTTTGTTAAAATATAAAACCAAAATGGATTTATTTTTCCAAAAAAAAAATACTATAAAAACGATTAAAATGAACAAATATCACATGATAGAAAACATAGCAATCATACAAAATTTAGAAGACCAAGATTTTGCTAGGTAGGGAACACCAGAAACAAATGAAACCAGTCGCATGAATCATTAAGATTATGCATAAGGCTAACCTTTTTTTGAATGGCTAATCTAATCTACTCTTAATTCCACCTTATGTCCCAGTCTGGAGTTGAACAAGTGATATCGTTAGATTAGAAGCCTTTTGGTTACCTGCATCGCTCAACATCTCATGTCCAAACAAAGATTAAAAGAATTCAAGTCCATCTAATACCAAATTTTGCTTCTCTTTTACCTCACAAGCAGTCACCATGTCTAACAATTGTAGACTCTCAACACACACAACAATGTCATCCATGCAAGAAACAGCACTGAAATCCACTAATCTTGATCGAGTCCCTATATTGGGCTTACAAACATGGAACCCCACAAAAAAAGTGTTGAACAACAAGTCACCATTGTTGGTCAGTTGCAAAACTCTATATATTCTTCCTTGAACTTGATTTGTTTTCAATTTAAAGACCAAAGACCACGAATCAACTCTCCTCATCCAAATCCAACTTTCATCATCATCCTCACGATAATCCATACAATAAGAAATCACAGCTAGAGAACCTTGGATGGTTGTTAGTTCTCGTGTTTCCCAACTGGTGTCTAGCAATGCAATCGTACCAAAAACATGAGTGCTCAAATCGAATGTCAATATGTAGCAAATATCGACTATGCCATTTGATTGACTAAAATAAGGTTCTACCTCTACAACCTAATGCAATGCTCCATTCACAAAACACGCATTCGATAACACCTCGTGAAACAAAGGAGTAGGGGAAGCAACTGCACACCAAGTACCTGTCTTCATGGCATAAACAAATGAACTTCGGTTGTGTATACTCACAATCTTGTAATCATTGGTAATTGGGTCGAAACCAAATCCAGTGTGTACCCGAGAAAAGGATCTATGAGGACAATCAGGTAAGGTTAATTTGCGCCTAATTGAAGGGTTCCATAGACTAATACACTTTGCTTCTAAATAATCGAACACACATAGAATTCCATTACATGAACCAATAATACAGAAATCTCTCCTAAAAGGAAACTCAACTGCAGTCATACCAATGTATCCACGTTCTAAGCACAATGGCAATTCATCTTCTCCATGAAATGTATAAAAGTCTGGTTCTTCATTTTTGTAACTACTTCCGTGTCTGAATAAGAGTTTTTGCTGGGATTGAAAAGTGTGTATGTGGATGAAATCGGGGCTACAAATATAAGAATACAATTTTTTGCAAAGTGATCTAGACCGGAGGAGGGATTTGGGTGGTAGTCTTTTCAAGATGTTAACAATCAACTCTTCACATAGGTAATCTGACATTGTGTAATTCTGCGTTTTCCCAAGAAATCATATTCAGTAGTAATATGGTGCAATCAAAACTAGTGATGTTATTTGCTCGGTTTAATAGGATTTTTTTCATGATTTTTTACTATCGACGATATAGAAAGGTATCAATAAATTTATCTATAATTTGATGTCTCATGTGTGACAACAAGTATTTTATTATGCCAAAATAAGATGAAAAAAGAATCTGAAAACAAATTAATTCAGGATTACTACTCGATAAACTCAAAAACATTAACCCGGGTCTCTTGAAAGAGTGTTTTTTTAATCAAATCACAAATTTTCTTGAATGAAATCAAACAGAATCAATCTAGCTCCGTTATATATATTTCAAATTTACTAAGTGTGCTAACTCTCCATCAATGTAGACAAAACGTTTGTTCGAGTTTAATCAAAATAGGAATACAACTCATTAGATTTGAAATGAACTTATACTTCAAATTCAAAACCTGTTCCAATATTTTGGATATATTTTCTACCTGTAAGCATATACCCTAATTTTCACATGGTAAGTACATATAATCCATATATATAATTCAAGAAAATTATTAGAAGTTACCAAAAACTGTATTGTGATATTGTCACACTTTATTTTTAAAAAAAAAAAAAAAAAAAAAAAAACTCTGCCAGTGTGACAATATCACAGTACACTACTAACTTTCCAGTGTAAAATTTCATGATCATCATCACCATAGTTTTGGAACGGGTTTTTGTCAAATATTAAATATCAAAAATTGGTCATGGCGCAAATAATTAAGAAATGTATAGTTTTACAAAACGCGAATCCCGCCTAACCTAATCAACATCGCATATATTAAAAAACAAGAAAATTTAATCTTAAAAGGAATCAACGATCAGCAATATCACTCACCGGAGAAAAGGATCAATACACGATGAAGATGAAGAAGGTTTTAGCAAGAAGACGTCGGACGATAGACGGGGTAGTTGTCGACTTCTCTCATAGGAAATAGATGGCCTGGATACAGGGATGACTGGTTTGGGCTTAGATGCACTAACCCTTAAATACGTTTGCTGTGGGCCCAGCTCAATAAATGAGTAATCTAACGCATATGAAGATTTTGAAAAAACTAACAACAAATTTATTATGGGAAATCTCTAAAAAAAAAAAAAGTCTCAATAAATACTGAAAAAGTTACACTTTAATTCCAAAAAAAATTTTAATGAAAATGTCATAAAAATCAGAAAAAAATTTGCATTTTAACCCTTTTTGATTTATTGAAACTGGTACCAAATTAATTTGGGACTATTTCGTAAACTAACTCAAAATATTTGATTTTTTCTATAAACAAAAATATTATGATTTTTCTGCAAACAAAACTTTTATTATTATTATTATTATTATTATTATTATTATTATTATTATTATTATTAAAACTATAAATAAGAAGACTATTTTTAAAACTTGTGATTATTAATATTGTTAATAATACATATATATGCATTTAAATGAAAAAAATAATAATAATGACATTGTTTAAGAATGGAGGTGGAGGAAATGGTGATACTTTTAGCATTGAAATCATAAATGTCTGTTTGTATATTTTTACTTTGTATATGATCAATTCATAATATTAATACTTAACAATTTATAAAAAGTTACATATTTATAAAATTGTTTATAACTAGTTTAAGGTAGAAGAATTTCTCACTTTATATATGAAATCATTTAAGATAGAATGATTACTTTTTATTAAACAAGATATTATAATTAATACTTTTGAATTTTGATATGGGCTACCTATATAGATATTTGTAGTGGATATGTTGCATTTGGAAAGTAATCCTTGTATCTTAAACAATTTTATATACAAAGTGAGAAATCCGTCTACCTTAAACTATTTATAAACAATTAATATGCAACTTCTTTTAAATTATTAAGTATTAATATTTTAAATTGAAAACAATAATAACAAATGTGAAATGATCAAAGTAAAAATATACAACCAGACATTCATGTTCATGATTTCAATACTAAAAGCATCAACATCTCATCCACATCCACCTTTAAATAATGTCATTAATATTATTTTTCCATTTAAAAGCATTTATATGTATTATTAACAATATTAATAATAACAAGTTCAAAAAATAGTCTTCTTATTTATATTTTTAATAATAATAATAATAATAATAATAATAATAATAATAATAATAATAATAATAATAATGTTTGTAGAAAAGTCATAATATTTTTGTTTACAGAAAAGTCTCAATATTTTGAATTAGTTTACGAAATAGTCCTAAATTAATTTAGTACCGGTTGCAACCGGTCAAAAAGTGTCAAAATGCAAATTTTTGTAGGTTTTCAAGACTTTTTTGTTCAAAAAAAATTTTAGTACTAAAGTGTAACTTTTCCGTAAATATTGAGATTTTTCTAACAATTTCCCAATTTTTTATCTTTGAAACATGACCATTATGGCATTCCAGAGCGAACTTCGAGATAACAAAGCACTCTGAAGTATCGTTCCGAAACAATTAATATTTTTTTTGTATTTATTTATATTTTTCTTATAAAATGTATATATTACAAAAAAATAATGGTGCTTGATAATTTTTAAATCTACCAAAAGTAATAATTACGTAAAGCTAATATGTTTTAAATCACCATTATCCCACATTGTTATTCTTTACCTATCTACTTTACGAATCCTTACAAAATATTGACACTCACATTCAAAATAGTTTATCCATGATTTTACCTAAATTAAAGAACAAGAGGAAGAAAAAAATTTGTTTAGAAGAGAATAACCACGGGCCTCCTAAATCGATTGTAGGAGATGAAATATTTTTTAGCATTCAATTATGAATATGCAATCATTAGGTTTTGTTAATGGTTATGTGGAATATGAAACAACGAATAATAATCAGGTCGTGAATAACCATATCGCGAACGAGGGTATTGATTCTGGGAGGGATTGCAAAAGGGTACTTTAAGTAATTTAGCTATAATCTCATTTAAAGATAATTTTTATAATTTTAAATATATTAATTTCATTAAATTAAGTATTTAGGTATAAACGTGAGTTTATAGGTTATATATATATATATATATATATATATATATATATATATATATATATATATATATATATATATATGTGTGTGTGTGTGTGTGTGTGTGTGTGTAATTTTAAGTTTTACAATAATATAAATGTAATTATGAAAATTTATAAGGATATATATGAAATTCTCAATTTTTCAAATATACCAAAACTAATTACCAGTGTTTCATATATTTTAAATAATATCAGTGGTTCATATGTTTTCAATAATACTACATTGTTCAAATGGAGCATTGTTTTTTCTTGGTTCCCAAAAAAAATCGACAATCGCTTGTGATATCCTATCGCCTAGGTTTCGATTGAACCCTCTGTCCTATATGATTTTCCCATGAGAAACATCTCAATAAACCAACAAAAAAACACCCCATAATCCTCTTCATTGTCAGACTGTAGTGGTATTTCTGCACCCTTTTCAAGGGTGGATTTAAAGCTCTCTAGGGTCTATACATTAGTGGGTTTGGTATCCTAATAGTTGATACCCATTAGGATTTTGTGGATTCGGGCTCGCATAGGTGAAAACCAAGATGCATCATTTGAAGAATAACCATCCTCCCATTGACTATCGTATATAATCATTTTGAATGTCTTCAAATCCAAAACACCCAAAAACTAGTGAGCACTTAGCATATTGATAGGGATGTAAATCTGCACAAAAGGTTGGAAGTAAGTAATCATCAAATAACATTTATTATAAATGACTATTACATTGGTAATGTAATTAAAATACGATTATATCTCATTATACTCAGACCAAGTTGCATAAATGAATCCATCATCCATGTGACTCCAGTCATATGAATCTGTGTTGAAAGTCGACGACATAATCGTCCACCGAGCATCATCAGATATGCACTCAACAATGAGATCCACATCATGATGTTCTGCTAGCGAACATATGTATACAATAAAGTACGTATTGTTATTAGAAGCGTACTACTTAATGATCACAATTATATAATTATACCTTGCATCGCATTCAAACCCGCCCGCGTGACTATTTGCATGCAACACCTTCTTTCTTCTTTTGTATCTATAGGGACTTACACCATATAGATATAACTTTTTGGTGTAGAGAACACTTAAGAAATGATGTTGGCCTTTTATATTTTTCCCGAGGAATCACTTTTAAATCCGACAAGTCATTATATATAGACATATGATCGGTTCCTTCATTTGGTGGTTGTTCAGGTGTACTTAAGTCATAACCATGCACCCAAAACTCATTGTTGTTTGTCGCACCAACATCTTCCACGATAATTGCCTATACAGTTCAATACTATTTAATTATAAACAATGCAATAACAGATATACCATAGAGTTAAGTAAAAAATATACAAGATTGAGATATTAAATCAAACTACCTCCACTCGTTTTGTGGTACCAACATCTTTTCCAACAACCTTATTATTAAGTTTTAGAAGCATGGCTACCATAGCTTTAAGTTCTAGAAACCCATCTCATGTTCCCTTAACTTCTCAAGACATTTACGGACCTCGTTTTCCAACTTGGTAATAATTCGGTTCTTATAAATTGATGGTGTAGTGGGTGGCAGTTGTTGTGGTGGTAGGTGATATGCATTTAAACCTTTCGCAACATCTGTTCGTGTCTTCTTTTGTCGAGGCTCATGGGTAGGCAAGTGTTAGGGTGATGATGTTATGGAAGGTGACATGTGAACATCTATGTTAGGTAAATTAGGGCGATCAATCCATGCCCAGCTAACAGTCCAACATTTAGCATGACTCTCATCTGCTATCGGCCCCAACTTTTATATAAGTCTATTATCCTACTAACAAAAATATAAAATTATAAATAAACACAAATTATACATACACACACACACACACACACACACACACATATATATATATATATATATATATATATATATATATA